GGAGAAGCCACATCAGCAAGAATGTAGTCCAAGTGGCTGACTGTTAGAACAGAATAACAGTCCTACAACAAGCTGTAACCATCTTGTAACAGACTGCAACTGTAAACAACTTACCTGTCTATAAAAACCCGAAGAAGAAATAAAGAGGCAGGAATTCCATCTGAACATCTCTCTCTCTCTCTCTCTCTCTCCCTCTGAATCCCCTTTTTCTTCCCCTCCCTCTGTTTCCGTTCAGTTTCCTCTTCCCTTACGAGCTTGGTTCACTCTACGAACCGAGTTAGGCAGCACCTAACAATATCACGGCCATACATGGTCTTATCTCAACTATTTGGGATTGAAAGAAACATTTTCCACCATTTTATCTATGCAGGATAACTTTCCATTTACACAATAGTTTATCCCCTTTTTATGACTACCATAGTTCTCTTCCTTCCCTTTATAGCCATCTGTTCAAAGGTTTTAGGTTGCAGTAGATAATATTTTCATAAGTGAGTCAATGGGATTTGCCACATTTTGCACCTTTATGTGAAAATGCTAATGCAGGAGCATCAAAGCAGAATGTTTTCAATTCTAAATCATCTATTTACTGGAAAAAGCAGTTAATAATGTAGGAACAGTTTGAGGGAAATATATGATGTTAATTGGAAACTGAAACCAAATTTGTCTAGGATATGTTTCTCAATGCTACCATGAAGTAGTGGCATATAAAAATAAGGCTAAATTACAAAGACCCCCCCTATACTATGGGGTCTGTGACAAAGACCCCCTGTACTATGACCGTGAGACAAAGACCCCCCTTGACCGTTAAGTCAGATGACGGAATGCGTTAAATACCAAAATACCCCACTAAACTTTTTTATTTTCTTTTTTTTTTGCCCTTTTTCTCTTAAAACCTATTTAACCTATTGTTTTCCCTTTTTTCTCTTCTTTTCCTCTCCCTCACCGTCCTCTCTCATTCTCTCTCTCCCAACTCTCCGAAATTAAAAGAGCACACACCAAAATTGCCAATCCTTGAATCGTTTTTGTGTTCGCTAAATTAAACAAAACAAAATGAGAAGGAAACTAACTAAATGCCTAAACTCCTAAGAAAGAAATCTCTCGGCAGCTCTCTCCCTCCAGATCTTAATCAACTCACCCAGGGAGGAGAGAGATTTCTTGCTGTCGCTACTTTGTTTTTCACCTCAAGGTAGGAGGCAATGAATAGTAACTCTTTGTCCCTCTTTGTTTATTTCATTGGAGAAAATGGGAGAACAAGGGAGGAAGATGTGGAAAAACGACGAGAGGTGAGAGGAATGGAGGTGGAGGAGACCGTCGCTGCCGCTACTGTGTGTCGAAGAACCGAAGAAGATGAACAATGCCCCCCTTGGGTCATCGTAGAAGCCAAAGGTTTCAATTTTCAAATCAAAGTCTTCCCCTTGCAATAAGTAGAAAAGTAGAGAATCATGGCAAGCTATCCGTCGGGGTATCCAGTTCCAGGATACAGCTACGGTGTGCCACCTGCCTAGCCGTATGGAACGGCCACTCCCTACAGAGCACCACCGGTGCAACCCTACGCTGCGCCTTCTGCGCCCTACGCTCTCGGCCACACGCCAGGGGACAAGCCCTCCAAGGACAAGCACAAGCCCCATGGAAGTGGAAGCAGCTCGGGTGGTGCTCCTCCGCCTTACTCCACCTCTCAACTGTCTTCAGCACCACCGTCCTCTGGCTATCCACCGGGTTCCGCCCCACCACTTTTCGGCTACCCACTGTATGGAAGCCCTTTTGCCTCTTTGGTGCCGTCGACGTTCCCTCCGGGAACTGATCCCAACATTGTCACTTGCTTTCAAGCGGCCAATCAGGAGACTCCATATAATATCAGTGCTTGTTCCCTCTACCCATCTCGAGACTCTCAACTTCATCAGGAATGAACTTGCCCCAGAAGGGGTGCTGCCTCCGTACGAGCATCATCTCCTTAATGGGCCCACCTCTTGTCTCCGTCAAAAACAAGTAGATGAACACTGCCATGATCAACACCAATCCAACAAAGAAGAAGTAGAGTCCGAACTTTAATTTGCAGAGCATCGCCAAGAACATTTGACCAATGATGAAGGTGAACATGTTCACTGCCACCAGTACTTTGGGTGGCCGACCTGATCTCGAGTCCTTAGTCTAAACGTGGCTGGCAAGAAGAGTCAGAATGCCAGTATTAGAATTTAAACAAGCAAAACAGATGATATCATTGACAATCTAAACGTGGCCAGCCTCCAACCAACTTCATTAGTAACTCCATCCTTTTGCTGTTTGTTCCTCATCTGCAAGGAACGGAAAATAGAGGAAATCGGAAAGAAGAAAGGGGAGGAGAGAAAGGGGAAGGGGAAGAAGAGAGGTCTGGGGAGAGAGAGAGGGAGGACCTCAATGGAAGTCCGCCACCGCTGTTGTTTGTGTATCGTGAGATTGGGGAAGATGAACAATGTTTTCTCCCAATTAATAGTTATTACAAGGGTAGTATGGGGATTAAAAAATATTGCAATGGCAGATTTCAACGGAAAGCTAACGGAAGGGGGTCTTTGTCTCATGGTCATAGTACAGGGGGGTCTTTGTAATTTACCCTAAAAATAATTTAGATATCCTTTGGCTATTAAACAAAAGAAAATTAGAGAATCATGGTAATCACATTAGAAAAAATAACCATCAAAGTTATGAATAAAAGTGGGTGTGTAGGCCTAGTACAAAATGAAACCCTAATACGACTTCAACAGTCCACCTAGACTCAACAGAATGAGGGAAGAATATTGCTAGGCTAGGCAGAAAAAGAATTATGTATCTGGTCAAAAGGCAACATTTTGAGTCTTTAAAGCCAGCAAGTCAGATGTTCTACTTTTGTTCTCTGATCAAACTGAAAATTTAAAATCTGCTAATATATTCATAGATATAACTTCCCAAAGAAAATTTTCAAGATGTTGAGAGATAAATTTCCAAGTAGGTCTCACATCCTCAAACTGCTTGACTGAGAAATCAGTTATAAAGCACCACTGCCTTCCCTACTTGGATTTAGAAGCTATTTACTGGAGTGTTTTTCCATAAAGGTCAACTAAACACCAAATAGTGTTACATCAGTTAGTGGTTTGTTGTATTATGCATTAATTTTTAGAGGATTAAGGGGTTATAAACTTAAAACGTCATCTGCTAATAAACTGTGGACCTGTGGTTTCTTATTTTAAGGAACATGTTGATATGGTTTGATCAGATTATCCAAATATGTTTCTTCTTTTTCTCATATTTCAGTGGTAAATCTGTAATATTGGTTTCTGGGCCATAGTTATGTCAATTGGAAACAAACTATATTGTATACAAAAAGGTTTCATAGTTAGATTTCCTTCTACTGAGAGGCATAGGAAAAAGAGAATAATATCAAAATGCTGCTTCATTTGTTTGTGTATAGCTCCAAGTATTTGTAGTATGCACTTTTCCTTGCACTATACATTTAGTTTTTTTGCCTTTCTTATACACTTCAAAATATGTTTGACTGAAGGATGGCTTTATGGGATGAATAATTACTAGACAAATTTAAATTATGTTTTTTTATCTCTTGTAGCTTTGCTGATCTCCAAAAGCCACAAGTTGAACTTGATGGCAAGGCATGCGCATCTGTTGGACAGAGTGGTCTCATGGCTCTTTATGATGCACTGTTCAGTCAGGTAAAGCATATTTACAACCTCACCACATAGCATCTATAATGGCAGGTTGCTTCACATGCATAGCATTTCTTTCCTTATTATTGAAAGAATGGTAGGATCTATCTAATGGACGCCATAAAGGTTGCGGAATGGGTGGGCGAATTTCAAAAATTTTCCTACCTTYTYCCAACTGGGAATCAYATTCCCTAAATTTAGAATACAATATTCAAGGATTCTACTTGAACCATAATCGAACCAGATCTGAACCAAAAAGAAAAAGGGAGGATTATACCTGATCCGAAGAAACAGT